CATGTACCACAGCTTCTTTATCCATTCCTCTGTTGATGGACATTTAGGTTGCTTCTGTGTCCTGGCTATTGTAAATAGTGCTGCAGTGAACACTGGGGTGCATGTGTCTTTTTGAATTACGGTTTTCTCTGGGTATATGCCCAGTAGTGGGATTGCTGGGTCATATGGTAGTTCTATTTTAGTTTTTTAAGGAACCTGCATACTGTTCTCCATGGTGGCTGTATCAATTTACATTCCCACCAACAGTGCAAGAGGGTTCCCTTTTCTCCACACCCTCTCCAGCATTTATTATTTGTAGATTATTTGTTGATGGCCATTCTGACTGGTGTGAGGTGACACCTCATTGTAGTTTTGATTTGCACTTTTCTAATAATTAGTGATCTTGAGCATCTTTTCATGTGTTTGTTGGCCATCTGTATGTCTTCTTTGGAGAAATGTCTGTTTAGATCTTCCACCCATGTTTTGATTGGGTTGTTTGTTCTTTTGGTATTGAGCTGCATGAACTGTTTGTATATTTTGGAGATTAATCCTTTGTCAGTTTCTTCATTTGTAAACATTTTCTCCCCTTCTAAGTGTTGTCTTTTAGTCTTGTTTATGGTTTCCTTTGCTGTGCAAAAGCTTTTAAGTTTCATTAGGTCCCATTTGTTTATTTTTGTTTTTATTTCCATTACTCTAGGAGGTGAGTCATAAAAGATCTTGCTGTGATTTATTTCAGAGAGTGTTTTTCCTATATTTTCCTCTAAGAGTCTTATAGTGTCCAGTCTTACATTTAGATCTTTAATCCATTTTGAGTTCATTTTTGTGTATGGTGTTAGGAATTGTTCTAATTTCATTCTTTTACATGTAGTTGTCCAGTTTTCCCAGCACCATTTATTGAAGAGGCTGTCTTTTCTCCATTGTACATTCTTGCCTCCTTTATCATAGATTAGGTGACCATAGGTGCATAGATTTATCTCTGGGTTTTCTATCCTGTACCATTGATCTGTATTTCTGTTTTTGTGCCAGTACTGTCTTGATTACTGTAGCTTTGTAGTATAGTTTGAAGCTGGGGAGCCTGATTCCTCCAGTTCCATTTTTCTTTATCAAGATTGCTTTGGCTATTTGGGGTCTTTTGTGTTTCCATACAAATTGTAAGATTTTTTGTTCTAATTCTGTGAAAAATGCCATTGGTAATTTGATAGGGATTTCATGAAACAGTAGATTGCTTTGGGTAGCATAGTCATTTTCACAATATTGATTCTTCCACTCCAGGAGCACGGTATATCTCTCCATCTGTTTGTGTCATCTTAGATTTCTTTCACCAGTGTTTTATAGTTTTCTGCATACAGGTCTTTTGCCTCCTTAGGTAGGTTTATTCATAGGTATTTTATTCTTTTTGTTGCAATAGTAAGTGGGACTGTTTCCTTAATTTATCTTTCTGACCTTTCATTGTTAGTGTATAGGAATGCAAGACATTTCTGTGCATTAATTTTGTATCCTGAAAGGAGAAATTACAACTGACACCACAGAAATACAAAGGATCATAAGAGACTACTACAAGCAACTATATGCCAATAAAGCGGACAACCTGGAAGAAATGGACAAATTCTTGGAAAGGTACAACTTTCCAAGACTGAACCAAGAAGAATTAGAAAATATAAACAGACCAATCACAAGTAATGAAATTGAAACTGTAATTAAAAATCTTCCAACAAACAAAAGTCCAGGACCAGATGGCTTTATAGGCAAATTCTATCAAACATTTAGAGAATAGGTAACAACTATCCTTCTCAAATTCTTCCAAAAAATTTCAGAGGGAGGAACACTCCCAAACTCGTTCTATGAGGTCACTGTCACCCTATATCTTTTTGGATTATAGTTTTGTCTGGCTATATTCCCAAGAGTGGGATTGCTGGATCATATGGTAATTCTATTTTTAGTTTTCTGAGGAGGATACATACTGTTTTCCACAGTGGCTGCACCAACTCACATTCTAACCAACAATGTAGGAGAGTTCTCTTTTCTCCACACCCTCTCCAGCATTTGTTATTTGTAGACTTTTTAATGATGGCCCTTCTGACCAGAGTGAGGTGGTACCTCATTGCAGTTTTGATTTGCATTTCTCTAGTAATTAGCCATGTTGAGAATCTTTTTATGTGCCTATTGGCCATTTGTATTTCTCCTTTGGAGAAATGTCCCTTTAGGTCTCCTGCCCATTTTTTGATTGGGTTGTTTGTTTCTTTGTTGTTGAGTTGTTTGCATATTTTGGAAATTAAGCCCTTGTCGGTCGCATTGTTTGCAAATATTTTCTCCCATTCTGTAGGTTGTATTTGCATTTTGTTTATGTTTTCCTTTGCTGTGCAGAAGCTTGTAAGTTTGATTGGGTACCATTTGTTTATTTTTGTTTTTATTCCTATTGCCTTGGGAGACTGACCTAAGAAAACATTGGTATGATTTATGTCAGAGAATGTTTTGCCTATGTTCTCCTATAGGAGTTTTATGGTGTCATGTCTTATGTTTAAGTCTTTAAGCCATTTTTAGTTTTGTTTTTGTGTATGGTGAGAGAGCGTGTTCTAACCTCATTGATTTACATGCAGCTGTCCGGCTTTCCCAACACCACTTGCTGAAGAGACTCTCTCAAAGACTCCATTTTGAGAAAAAACCCTGAGTGGCAGAGGGCTGAATAGTAGTTGGTAGTCATCCACCCACAGAATAACTGAGTATCACATGATGTTGACTGATAGAGTTGGGTATGAAGCAGGGTAAGTTATCAGTGGGGCTGAGAGGTGGTTCTCCAAAGATGAGGATCACTGAATGGGATGAGTAAGTTTCAGAACCAGTACATGATCAATACTACAATCTAACACAGAATCTTTATATTAGAAATCTTTTTTATTCAACACAACAAAAGAAAGCAAAGAGAGCAGAGAAAAACATAGTAGGGATATAACTGCAGCTGAGAGGGTGGTGTCAATACCATTTAGGGACACTGCATGGGAAGATAACTTATTTGTTCTGTGGGGAATTCCTGAGTCTAGCTAGAATGGGCAGGACAGTTAAAAGGAAGATTCCCTGCTCTGTTTTCATGATCTCGATTGTCAGTTTTCAAGGAGGGCATAGGTCATTTTCTTCCTAGAATCATGGTAGACTGATGAAACTGATAATAAGATGGGAACATCAATAGGATGCCTACATATGTTCATGACACTGATTGGTGACCTTCTGATAGTGAGTAATGGAGGCTTGGGTGAAGCCAGTATAGACAGAGGAAATGAGGACTTACCACTTCTGCTCTAATTCATAGGCCAAGAGAAGTCGGAGACAGGAGAGAAGCAGCAACCCAAGAAGAGGGCAATGCAGCTGGATGGGGGGTTGAGACAATGTGGGACCAAGTACCAACAGGAGGACTTCAGTGCTTGTAGTTCTTACTGCTGGAGGAGGAGGTGGTGGTTTATTTGACAGTGGAACTGCTGCCCCTGGAGGAGCTGAGGCCACCCACTATGGCTCTGCCACTGCCGGAACTGAAGCCACCTCCAACGCTGTGACCACTGCTATAGGAATAGCAATTGCCTCCGCCCAGGCCTAAGCTACTGCTGACACCACTGACACTGCCATAGCCACTGGAGATGGTAGACAGCATGTGGCCGTGGTCTGTCTCAGATCAGTCTCTGGATCATGTGGTTGAGCTTAGCAGTCTCCTGCTTGGTGTTGTACATGTCATCCCTTTGTCTATGTACCTTGACCTGCAGCTCCTTACACTGTAGTCCAGAAGAATAGAGAAGCAGTGTGCATGGGGGTAGATACAGTGTTTATGGGCTTTCACATGCCAAAAATGGCTTTCAATTCCCAGGCATCTAATAAACTCACACCAAACGATGAGACATCTCTAGAAATAGTAGATGGCACAAGATTATTTGCTGCTGCACAACTGAATAGTTCTGTATGATCATTGAGCACCTAGTTTTTCAATAAACTAGTGATGTTCTTAGTGATATCTAAGGGATTTCACAATCAGGAAGAGGTTGAAGGCAAAACTCAGTAGGGCAATGTCATTAAAATCTTTTTCCTTTTTATTCAATAGGCCTAATTGTAAATTATTTGTCTACATGAACTGAGCAATGACAGACCTCCTATGAAATCATCCAGGGTCTTTGTATTTCAAACTCCATTCAAAAAACTGCGGTAGGCTGGTGCAGCTGAGTGTAACCACCTGGGGCGCGGGCACAGGATTTCTCTCCCGTTGCTGGCAACTGCTCACCTTGGTCTGGTGTCAGGACTTGGCCTCAGCCTGCCTCATTTGAGCAATCTCCCCATATAGGCCTTTGACCTCAGAAATGGTGCTGTCCAGGTTCAGATTATGGTTGTTGTCCACGAAGAGGACTGCAGAAATGTCTGAGCTGTAGGATTGCATCTGAGGGCACTCCTACCAGATATGGATTGTTAGTACCTCTGCTTCCAGTGATACATCTATGAGATCCAACTCCCAAACATTCCATCCACTCAGACTCTTAAGCAGAAAAATGAACAAACCAACGAACAAGCAGGGTAAGGTTCTCTCCATCTCAAAGTAAGAACATAAGTGATCAATTTGATCGTTAAGGGTATTTATCTTGGTGTGCAGTTCAACCTCATTCATGCAGCATCCTCGTCCTTGGAAAGGAGGAACAACTCAGAGTCAGCCGACCCCTACTCCCAGCCCACCCAATATCTTCTCCTCCCATGTGTGGGCTCTTCCAGCCTTCAACAAAGGAATGTGGACACCTAATATTGCTAAGCTCACCTTCCTCAGTGTTACAGGTTCATTTGGTGCTGTTGCAGGCTTATTGATTTCTTCTTCATTTCCAGAGAGGATGCTGAAAGACGCTTGAGCCAGTGAGCAAAGGCTTTTGAAAGCCAATGGAAATTTTCATTTCCATTGGATATTTTTCCTAGGCAATCATGCCCTCAACTGGACCTAGTCACTCGGTAGACTTGAAGTGTGGTTTTCAGAAAACTGAGCTCACTTCTCTCCTGTAACTCACTTGTTCTTGAAGTCCTCCACCAGATCCTGCATGTGTCTGAGTTCTGAATCCGGGAAGCCACTAAAGAAGAGGAGAGATTCCTTCCACCCTCTGAGGTTGTTGATGTACTGCTCAAACGTAGGCACCAGGGTCAGCCTCACGGGCTTGGATCCCTGCTGCTGAAGGAGGGTCCACTTGGTATCCAGGCCCTTGTCCTGCTGCTCCAGGAACCACATCTGCAGGAAGGCAAGAGAGTCGTTTGCTAGACATAGAAAGAAAGGAACAAGTGTCTGTATTACCAGGTTTCCAAGTAGGCTGGGGTGGTGTCCATGGTGCTGGACTACTAAGGGAATATACAGAGGCTCAGATTGGGCGGTATGCTCCCCTGATATTCTTCCTTCTCAACCTGCAGATCTCACTGATGAAATGCCCCCATAGACTTTTGAGCTGTTCCTGCCCTATAAGTTATTGTGCCTATCAGTGATTTTTTCATCACTTCCTCTCTTTCTCTTGAGAAGTAGAATCAAAAATGTAATTTAAAATAGTTTTTACCTGATGTATTATACAAAGCTTTTATTTTCTAAAATAAAAGGAATGTTAAATGTTATCTAATGATTAGATTCTAATCTAAACTCCAATTTAGTGCATATATCTCTTCTAAAACACTCTTGATAGATGGTCATACTTTGTTTCTAGAATAACTTTTTTTTAAAAAACAAATTATAGGGGCTTCCCTGGTGGCTCAGTGGTTGAGAGTCCACCTGCCGATGCAGGGGACACGGGTTCGTGCCCCGGTCCGGGAAGATCCCACATGCCGCGGAACGGCTGGGCCCGTGAGCCATGGCCGCTGAGCCTGCGTGTCCGGAGCCTGTGCTCTGCAACGGAAGAGGCCACAGCAGTGAGAGGCCCACGTACCACAAAAAAAAAAAAAAAAAAAAAAAAAATTATAAATATTTGCACATCTCAAATGTTTCTTTTCCTCACCTGGATGGAAAATAATTCCACTTTTATTTTCTTCTCTTTGTTTTTCATTTTTTTTCTTCCTGCTGGAAAGGTAGGCCAGAACCTCAGAGAAGGTAGTGACTGGCCTTTTCTTTGTATCCCATTGTAGACCCATTAGTGGTAAGTGTTAATCCACTTCATTCTCTCTTTTCCTTTACTTTGCTTCAGGGTTATCAAGAGTTGAGAATTCTTCCCAGGCAGGAATGAAAGACATTTAAGGGATCAGTAGTTGTAAATGATTTCCATCACCTTCTGCCTGTGGTTTATATGGAGCCTGTCCTGCATCCCAGTGGAGAGCTAGGCCAAGTCCCCTCCTCCCTCTATCCAGAGGCTCCCCCTGGTAGGACATTGCTTGCGTCTCTCGACTGGGGATTCTGAAATCCCAGTGGAGGGCAGGTGCTCCCGGCTCACCTTGTCGATGGAGGAGGCGAACCTGTTGTTGAGGGTCTTGATCTGCTCCCGCTCCTCAGTCTTGACTCGCTGGATGGTGGGGTCGATTTGCAGGTTGAGGGGAGTAAGGAGACTCTGGTTGATGGTGACCTCTTGGATGCCTCCAGGGGGGCAGACGAGGAAGCCAGAGCCCCTATAGCTACCAGCAAAGTCAGCTCCACCACCGAGCCCAAAGCCACCACCAGCTCCACCACCGAAACCAAATCCACTCCCGGCTCCACCTCCAAAGCCGAGACCGCCTCCAGCTCTGCCGCCATCTCCGCCACCGAGGGCACAGCTGCCCGCACTGAGGGAGATCCTCTTGGAGCCCCCCACGCCATAGAGGCTGCAGCTGCCAAAGCTAGCTCCTGCACCCACTCCAGTGAGGCCACCACTGCCCCTGGAGCGGGACACCGGCATGCTGCTGAAGCCAGAGCGGCCGACCCCAGGGACTCTGGCTGAGCCGGCACTGAAGACACGGCAGCTGCTGCTTTGGCTTCTCACGGTGGATTTGGAAGTCATGGTTCCTGAAGTCGAAGAGGCTGAGGAGGGCGTGAGAGGTGGAGGGTAGAGCTGAGAGGAAAAGTATGAGATAGGTTTCCAGCAGCCAGTGTACAGGGAGGAATGCGCTTGGCTCAGTGCTGGAAGATGAGCCTGCAGGTTGGGAAGGACTGGGCTTTACAAACAGTGAGATCATACCTGGGTTATTAGAAAAGATATAAAATATGAAGAATGCTTTTTGGCTTCCTTTAGCCAGGGAAAAATTATCCTGCCTTTGATCTTTTTTTTTTTGCGGTACGCGGGCCTCTCACCATTGGGGCCTCTCCAGCCGCGGAGCACAGGCTCCGGACGCGCAGGCCCAGCGGCCATGGCTCACGGGCCCCGCCGCTCCGCGGCACGCGGGATCCTCCCGGACTGGGGCACGAACCCATGTGCCCTGCATCAGCAGGCAGACCCCCATCCACTGCGCCACCAGGGAAGCCCTGATCTTTGATATATATCAATACAGCAAGACTATTCTCAATTCACTGAGGCTGGGAGTTAGACTGTCTCAAACAAAGGTTCAATATGGGTTGCTTGTGTATAAGAATGAACGTGCCCATCATCCCAATTTTGCAATTATTATGTCAAGGCCAGATTTGTTTCATCTATAATTCTAATCTGATCTTTTGTAACAGCTGAGAACTTAGAAATCTAACAGCAATCTATTGCTTATGCCCTAATAGAAAGATTACCATTTCCCTAATGATTACAAAAATGTTAAATTTGACTTGTTTTTTCTGTATGTAAAAATTTGAACAGATAGAAAAGTATAAGAACCACATAATAGACTCCTGTTTGTCTATTAAGGATGGATACACATCACCCAGATTTTGCAATTATTATCTCAAGGCCGACCTTATTTCATCCATAACTCCACCTACTTTCTTCATCCACCTTAAGTTATTTGAAAGGAAATTCCAGAAGAAAGGTCATATGATTTCATATTCAATTCAGTATTTATGTCTAAATGACAGACTCTTTAGAAAATGACCAAAATGCTTTTTTTTACTTTATTTTATTATTTTAAACATTTATTTTTGTTATTATTATTTTTGGCCACAATGCACGGCATGTGGGATCCTAGTTCTCCCTGACAAGGAATGGAGCTCGAGTCCCCTGCATTGGAAGTGCAGAGTCTCAACCACCAGACCACCAGGGAAGTCCCCAAAACGCTATTTTTATATCTTAAAAATTTAACAGTAATTCTTTAACATCACTAAGTTTAGTGAACATTCAAATTTCCCTTTATTCTTACTTATTTTTATAATTTGTTCAATTCAGGGTCCAAATAAGGTCCATACATGTTTATTTGGATGACACATCCTTTAAATAATACATCCTTTACATCATTTAGCTGTTTATCTTTTTGGCCATTTATTTGTTAAATAAACTAGGTTAACTGTCCTGTAGAATTTTCCATTCTTTGGCTTTTGTGATTGCATCCTCTGATGTCATTCCATATGTTACTCTCTCCTCTATATTCCTGTAATCTAGAATCTTAAATCTGGAAGAATAATAAGTTTATTTTCCAGAAGTAGATGTAATTGAAAGTGTATAAGATTGAGTATTACATTATATACATCCGTAAATATATATATTTGCAGAGTGGTTGCATCATTTTCTTTTCTGTTTTTCTTTTTTTTCAGTACGTGGGCCTCTCACTGATGTGGCCTCTCCCGTTGTGGAGCACAGGCTCCGGACGCGCAGGCCCAGTGGCCATGGCTCACGGGCCCAGCCGCTCTGCGGCATGTGGGTTCTTCCCAGATCGGGGCACGAACTCGTGTCCCCTGCATCGGCAGGCGGGCTCTCAACCACTGCGCCACCAGGGAAGCCCTGTTGCATCATTTTGAGTTTCCAACAGCAGTGTATGAGTGTTCTGTTTGCTCCATATTGTTGCCTTGGTATCCTCAATTACTTTGATGTTAGCCATTCTAATAGTATGTGGTTTTATCTCTGTGGGCTTTTAAAATTTAATTTATTTAAACAAAAAAAAAACCTCACGAAAACAGTTCACCCATTTCTCCCACTCCCACCCCTTCCCCCGCCTCTGGCAACCATCAATCTGATCTCTGTATCTATGAGCTTAGTTTTTAAATTTTTGAAAATTTGTTTTGTAGATTCCACATATAAGAGACTTTGCAGTACTTGTCTTTGTCTGACTTATGTCACTTAACATAATGCCCTAGAGATCCATCCATGTTGTCACAAGTGGCAAGATTTCATTCTTTATACCCATATACAATATTAACATATTTAAAAAATGCCTAAATTGTGCACATTTGTCTATCAAAATAAATTTCAGGGCAAATCCCCAGCCACCTAATTGAAGATGTTTCTGTGCTTTGGGGGGGACAATTTGTGTGTATGAGTTTGCGTATGAGCGTGTATACTCTTCCTTTAGGTGTTTCAATTACTCTTGTGTTGAATCTACTTTGTCTTCTTTATCTATATATCCTCTTGACCCTCCTTTAACCTCTCGTTAACTCTCTGTATGACCCCCGATTCTCTTTTCTCGATATGCTCCCATACGCCCTTTGTTGTGCATTCAGCACGTCTATTGTCCTTTGTACTGACATCAACTTGGCCTTCATTTCCCTGCTGGCTTTGTTTTTCTGTCTGCCTCATATCTGACTTCTGTAAGTAATGTTTTATCTCTTATTGTCTCATTATATACTTTTTCTTCTCTAATTTTATAGAGGGTTTGTTTTATTTTGGCAATATTTTATAGTGACTTTGTTCTGATGGGTGATCATTATCTGCCTTTTGTTTTTCCTGTTCATTTCATTTTTGAATGTGTATTCTCTTTAGTGAGTCCTGGACCAGTTCCTTTCTGACTAGTGCTCATCTTTGAATGAGGTGAACTCCTTCTAGACCAGTCATTTGCAGAAAGTATTCTGGGGAGTGAGCTGGGGCCATATTCAGGTTAACAGGCTGTGCGAATAATTCTCTTATTCCTTAAAAATCTTGCCCAACAAATCACTGCAGAGTGACAAATTCACATTCTTTCTGCTTTTTGTCCCTCTTATTAACAAAATGCTGCCAATAGGCCTTGTTTCTGATTTGTTATTCAATTCTACTTCCCAGTTTCTAGAAAGTTCATGACTAATGTGGTCCTGCCTCAGGTCCTACTCCCAGTTCTGACTGTTGCAAACAAGGGATTCTTGGATTTGCACCTGAGGACCTGTCCTTCACATTGACCTAGTTGTGTTAAATGAGTCAACAGTGCCTGGCATGCAGTAAAACCTCAACTTCAGGCTGCTCTTATAGCTTGTGTTCAGCTACTGTCTTGATGAAGATTTTCTTGTATACCAGGAGCTGAAAAAAAAAAACAACAACCAAAAGCCAAAGTAACAAACTGAGAACAACCAACTCTCTCTGAGACTGGATACTCCTTCACCACTTGGTGGGGCTTGCTCTGAACCTAGAGATCAGCCCAAAGTTAATGCTTAAGACCTTCTCAAGAATTTTCTCAGCATGTGTCTTGTCTGGACCTAGGCACAGTTTTCTAAATTCTCTCATATACACAGCTGCGCCTGAATGTCCTCATTTCCCAGAGTCTCACTCCAGCTTAGCCTCTAGACCTTAGATGGTCAGAGGGTCTATTGCATATCTTCTTCCGTAGTCTTTTGCCTCAGGCCTCTGTGGGTTTGTAGTCTGCCCTACAGTTTTTACTAACTGTACCTGCTGCTTCTCTTGCCTGCATTTGGATTTATGTGGAACAAAGGTGAGAATCTTGTATTATTTCTTCAGGAATGCCCCA